ATATGAAAAAGTATGGCGGTCCTGGTCGCATGAAACAATCGTGCCTTCAAAGGCAATGCTTGTCGGTAAGTTTTATAGTTTTTCTGTTCGTCAGTGTGTGTCAATAATTGTTTTTATTGCTTTCCTAGAGTTACTATGACATCCTTGTCCTTCGTATGTTATGTTATTGTGATGTAGCTGTCATGAAATTCCCGCCCTCTCATGACAAAGTGCTTGTGTCAAGTCAATAGCCATATAGCGCGGTTTCCATCTGTAGTTATCTGTAAATAAAAATAAAAAAAATTGAGAAACTGACTATTTGAGCAACTTAATATAATCCATTAGCAACAAAATTGATAATTGTCTTTACTTTCTTGTGGAAAATAGCAGCAAATTTGTTGAGCGAAAACACTGGGCTTTTTGCACTCTTTGATAAAAGGTGAAATCTGCAAATAAGGAGTTCCATTCACAGTATGGGTGCATATTATGTATATATAGGAATTGATCAATATCCCTGGTCTAATCTTTGTCTTTGTACATAAACTTTAATGCTATTGCACCTGAAACTCCTGGCTAGGAATGTACAATAATTCCTATTTTGTTTTTCTTGACTAGCCCGTGTTGCCTCATACCGCATGCTGTGAACTTTGTGGTGGTGATGACCATGATGAACGAGTGAAAGATGGTGGAATAATTACATTGATGGAATGTAATGTATGTTTTAAAGTGGTGCATCCAGAGTGTCTGAAAACAGAAGGCCAGCCTCATGTGGGCGTCATCAATGAAGACCTCTCCAATAGCTGGGAGTGCCCCCAATGCTGCAGTGAAAGCTCGGACAGTGATAAGGTACTATTTCCTGAATATTTGTCACCTCGCCTATGCCATTGACACAAGATCGCTAATTGTTTTTCAATTAGCAACAATTTTAGTTTGGAGGGATATCACTCAGCCAAGATGTGCGTTGAGTTAAATGTCTGTCAGTTACTAAGAGCCTAGTTATTCACCAGCATTATCTTTCGCACATAGACCTCGATACTTTTTTGACGCTCCACCAAATATGAAATATATACCAAGTATGATTGATTGCATGCATGTCATATTACAAACACATTTTACTTTCAAACAATTTCATTTTA